GGTGCAGACTGTAAGGAATAAAGGGATTCGAGTTTACCCCAGAGTGTGAGCGGTGTTTCCATGCCATCTACCTTTCGCAAGACTGCATCGGACAGATTCATTATGATTAGATTATAGGCTTCCTTATCCACTTCAGTCTTCTTTTTCAGTTTCTCTTCAGACCACTTGGTGGTGTCTTTTTCCAGAGCAAGCCCTACCTTATTATGTGAAAGTAGGGCCTTTGTCTTTTTTTTCCATGTATTAAAATCGATCTTTCCATCGTATTGGGAGATCTCCATACGAGTAATGCTCATTGTATTGTAATGACAGGACAGGAGAGTCTAAGGAGTACGTGGCGTTGTTATACCAGAGGTTGCCACGTACTACCAGACAGTTTTTAAGACGGTTACTGGTGTTCCAGCCGAAATACCCTTAAACTTTATCAAACAAGACGAAAGTAACAATACTACTACAACCCCTAGGCAATACCAAGATTTCTCCCCTGACTCGTGTTTGTGACTCAGACTAACCAATTCGACCAGATTCAGGACGATTCGAAACCCTAAAGCTCTAGAAGCCTTTAATTTGAAAAAACCCCCAAATCCTAACAAAACCCTAATTTCGATTTTGCACGAATTTCGTTGATCCCCTGTGTTTGTAACCTAATCTCACGAATTAATCCCAAGACTCAACAAGATTCGAAGACCTAATGATCTAGGAACCTTTAAATCAAAAAACCCCCAAAAACTGACAAACCCTAATTTTCGAATTCGTCAAGAATTAAACGATTTCTAAACCTAGATACACCTTAGAACTTTGGCTCTGATACCACTGCTATAACCCAAGCCTAATTAATCAACTCGCAACACAAACAAACACAATCAAGATTCAAGATCAAAACACACACACACAAAATCAAGGCACGAAATTTACCGTGGTTCGTCTATCCAATCTTGGATAGACTACATCCACGTTGAGCTCCGAAATACGGATACTCACAGCACTAAAAGATTATCCAACAATTACAAGAAGAAAAACCATACAAATCTGCCGAAACAGAGCAACACTCAACCTAGGCCTATTCGCTCAAGAATCTCTCTACAATCTGCAAGAAACAGAGGACTAACCCAGCCTCAAGAAGGAAACGCAACCCTCTCTCTAATCTACCCAGATTATTCCCAGAAAGCCTTAGCAAATACCCAACCCTAGTTTTCTCTAATTTTTCCTCACGAACCCTAACCTTTCAGATTAACAAAAGTTGCAATTGTTCACAACACTATTTCTTCTTTTATATATGCCCATATCAGCAAATGTCAGCTCTTGGATCTGTCTTGATCTGATGGCCAGGATTCCTTCAATTAACTTAAATGAAACGACCTCGTTTTGGCTTTACATTATTTTCATAATATAACAAATAAAGGTATATATATAAGTAGCTTTGGAAATAATAGTTACTTTAAAATTGAGAAATGAAATATGAAATTTATATTTAACATAAAGGCATCGACATGGGAATCAAGTGGTTGTTGCAGACTTGTAAGAAGTGTAAGAAAGAGAACCCATTTGCCTTTGAATTTTCCCCAGCAGCACCAATTGCTACATGCAACGGATAGAAATGGTCTATCCTAGGATGGATCATTTTCGCAGGCGGCGCCTTCTCTTCATAGTGATTCACATCCTCGTATCTGTGTGCAAAAATTAATCTCATCTAAGTCATTATTAAAACATAAACAACCAACACTTGCTAAAAATATTAGCATCTCCTTCTCTTTTCCCAAGTCAATTAAGATACATATAAAAGAAAACTGTAATGTTACACATACAAAGTTAGTATCCTAATTTTGTATCTCGAGTGATGTCACAGCTTAATTCAGTATCATATAAATTACAAAGAAGTTACTAACTTATTCAATTATCATATAATCAATGTAATATTGACACATAAATAACCTCATCATTTGGGAACTTTGTATATGTATATTTAATATTACTGAAAATAATATATTACCTTCCTTTATTTAAGGAGAGCAGCTTTAAGCCAGGTATCAAATTCCTGAGCCCATGGAAAAATGGTATCAGTACTGGATTTTATAGCCCTCAGGTTATGAACAACATTTCCGGAACCGAAAATGAGGACACCTTCCTTCTTGGGAGGGGCCAATGCCTTCCCCATGCTGTAATGATAAGTTACATCCTTCTCCGTCTGAACTGAGAGCTGGCACACTGGTATATTCGCCTCTGGATACATCAGCATCAATGGAACCCATGCGCCATGGTCAGACTCACCTCTCTATCTTCTTCAACATCTTTGAAGCCTGACGCTGTGAGTAGTTCCTTCACTCTCTTTGCCAATTCTGGAGCTCCTGGTGCAGGATACTTGAGCTGGTAATGGCATAACAATAGCAACTTATTACACAGATTTGAGAGAATTGAAAATTATATCATATGAATCTTTACTAAACAACCGATTCATGACACAACACATGGTGAGTTGGTTTTTTTTTTTTTTTATTTATTTTTTATTTTTTTATTTTAGTTTCTAATAAGAAATAATATATATTATCGATGCGTAATTTTGACACCAACGACTTCGCACATGCAAAATGTTAATTGAGTCTTAGAAGTTACACGTGATTGGTTTGAGAGTTAGGATAAGGTTACAGTCAAGTGCAAAGGCTAAATAATAAAAGAGACAGTGAGAATTATATAGTGGTTCGGATGCTTAAAGCGATTCTTATATCCACTATTATTTTATATATAAGTGTTCTTGATTATTAGGCAAATTAGAAGAGGTCGTCAACAACGAATAGAAGTACAAAAACTTAGTATTCAGAAGAATATTAAGTTAGCCTCTTTCTAGTAGGTTGTCTTTGATATTTGTTTTTATGAAAATAGAGATCCTGATTTTGTAAGGGGGAGTCCTCTATTTATAGCCGCTGAGTTTAAGGTAATGATTATATGTCTATAAGTAGGTAGGTGTCGTGCAAGTCTTTCCTTGCGTCCCATTGACTAATAACTTAGGAAATATCATTAAATTATATAAGGCTTGGACAGGTGTACAGACCTCATTCATTTACAGATAAAACTTGAGCATGCTGAGTTGGTGACATCCGTATTCTCTCTGTCTTAGGGCGACATGACAGATCCTGAACAGCACAAAGTCTTGCTGAACTCTGATTGGTATTCACTGATGTAAGCTTACATTAGCTCTGATTTTTTAAGCATAACATATATTTACGTGGAAAATTAATGAAAGAAAATAATAATTTTGCTAGTTGGACATGTACTTAATTAACTTGAGAAGGCAAAATACAAAAATAACTCGCCAAAAAGAACTAAAGCACAACTCAACATAATCCGTCAACCCCGCTAACTTCATCTTATCATATTCAATCAAATGGCATGTAAATTTAAACCTTTCAAAATAATCCAATTATTTTTCTGTTTCTTAACAACAGAAGGCTAGCAGCATACCATGTACATTTCGTTCGGGAAGCTGTAAAAGTCGTGGATGGTGTCGTGTTTTTGAACGACACAGACAGTGGGAACATCGGCCCCCAGTGGGCAGATATGACAAGAATTGCATTGGGTTTCTGCAAAAATCCTTNGTGGAAAATTAATGAAAGAAAATAATAATTTTGCTAGTTGGACATGTACTTAATTAACTTGAGAAGGCAAAACACAAAAATAACTCACCAAAAAGAACTAAAGCACAACTCAACATAATCCGTCAACCCCGCTAACTTCATCTTATCATATTCAATCAAATGGCATGTAAATTTAAACCTTTCAAAATAATCCAATTATTTTTCTGTTTCTTAACAACAGAAGGCTAGCAGCATACCATGTACATTTCGTTCGGGAAGCTGTAAAAGTCGTGGATGGTGTCGTGTTTTTGAACGACACAGACAGTGGGAACATCGGCCCCCAGTGGGCAGATATGACAAGAATTGCATTGGGTTTCTGCAAAAATCGTTTCTCTTTAATTTCCAAGACTAGAAAAAATGTCTGGCTGGTAGTGAATCATCAATAAACAAGGTCGGGGATCCATGTGATATGTAGAATGTGTCCATAAGAACCGTATATATATTTGATCTACGTGTTTTGTATTTGATTATTAATACGACAAATACAGAGAGAAGAGAACAAAGTCCATTTTCTTATGTAGTTAATTATAGTATTGTATTGTGATACATCAGGATTAATGTATTCAAACTAAACAGTTAATTATATATACGAACATTCGTTCTATGGAAGACTTTTTCATCCTCATAAAAGGAACTATTAATAGCAATTAAAGTTCAAAGATAGTATAATAGTTAATAAATTAGATATAAACGTGAACTATCATTCTACTTATTGAAAGGGTTTAACATTTTTTTGGTATTAAAGACCGATAAAGGAGGTTATTGACTGATTTTGAAATGTAAAGAGGTCAGTTAGGATTTTAAAACATATGATGTCTCATCACCTAGCGCTAAAACCCCATGGGAGGGTAAAATAACACAAAAAACACCTATTTCATCATGTCGTATTTTGGTTGAGAACCCGTTTAATAATATAATTAATTAAATAGGTCTATACAACCCTCGATTACTTTTTACACACAATTACTACTTATTACAAGTTTTTTAACCAGAATTGGTAGCGGTAAAAGAAGTATTTGTCTCAATTATTAAAGTTGATATGGGGTGTAACTATAACACTAGTTTTACGGACTTATAACACCCCATCGACATGGAATACATTTGCTCCAATATTAGTGGTTGGTTTGTTTTGGTTATAGTATTTGGCTCCATTTTTGTATCAACATCTATAAATCTCTAAAAGCTTAAAAAAAATAAAAGGGTTATTTATTATTATAACTGCAATCCATCTAAAATACTTTTCATTCTACAAAATCTCTTATTCCGAAACAGCGCCACTTAATATGAGAATTTTATCCAAATTAGCCAATATGTAACAAAAGAAAAATATGAAAAGGAAGCTGTTCTATTGAACAGGAGAATTTGTCACCTTATTTGAAATCTTCCGAAAAACAAGCTTAGATGAATAAGTGAAACTCATATATTTGAATACAATTCAATCAATCAAAATGGCACAGAATTACAAACATAAGCTACATGGCATCTTAAGTGATACAATTGCATTTGATTAACACAACTATGAGAAAAATTACCTTAAATGAGATTGCCAATGTATTACTGACCAGTTATTGTGTTAGCATCATTGTACTCATTGTCGTTGCTTGATAAAATTAAATCTGACAAGATAACAGAGAGAAAGCAGGGAAAGAATAACCATGGAAACTGATTAGACGAAAGAATTAATGCTGCATCCCATTCCTCTTTAATCTCTTTCTCATAGAGCTTCGCTTAGCAGGTCTCAGTGACTGCATAAGAGCAGCTGCATAATTTCTTAAATTCTCCAGAATCCTTCTCTCACTTAAACGTAATACCGAAGAATGGTACAACTTCCTATCTTTTGTGGAACCACTTCTCAGGACTTCAATATCATCTTCTTTTGACTTGATGGCGTAACAACTCTCCCGCATATCCGCCAATGAAGAGAGCGCATTACAAACACTTTCAGTGAAGAATAGTTCTGTGCTCATATCTGAAGTGTTTTCCAATGCAATGTTGTTTTTCTTGGACAAAATCGTACATATTGCTTCATTGTAACTCTCACCAGCTGATAAACTTAGATCCAACGTATGATATGTATCTTCAGGTAGTAAAATGAAGTATAATAATATTAGCAACTCAATTTGGGGCTCTCCATTGAATGCTATCTCAAAATATTCAGAACTTTGACTGACACATCCAGAATACCCTAATCTTCTCCACAAGGACAACCTTGCTCTAGTGTATCGGCTAGAAAATAAAGAAGAACTCCATTGAAGCACCAACTCCAAATCAATATTCACAATATCATAGGAGTTTTCTGGCTCCGTGAACCCATATCTGTGAAGCAATGCAGCATTTCCTACCAACCCATAGGTATTGAAAATCTATAAAAAAATAAATGCCACAACAGCACGTAGAAAGTAATTAATAAGAGAGAAGCATCTTTCAACACCTTGACTAACTTATACATGATTTATAATGATGATCAGATTATAAATTTATATATATATAATTATGACATTTGTTTGAGAAATAATATTCTCAAACACTAATTTTTTATAATGATAACATTATAAAATTGGTGACTCAAGAAAAAAGAAAAATAAGAAATAATGATCACATTATATTGCCTCCCTAAGCTTAGACCAAAATCATCTACATGACAGTTTTTTTTCTCTTTCAATGAGAAAATATTTCACTGGGTCATATGTTCAACACACTACAACTACATTAACGCACTAAGTTAAAATCTCCATTTTGATAATTAAGATAAGTGATCCTATTTCACATGGAAAGTAGAGTGTACATTCTTATATACAACTTAATATACTAACTGTCAATAATTAAAGATATACGAAAATCTCATAATATACATCTTCTATGCATGAGACTTTTCATAAGCATGATGTAGATTATAACTCACAGACCCTCAATAGTATACCGTAATATCAAATTAATGGTAATCTAAAAGGGGCTATCATCATTCAACGGACAGAAGTTATAAAAATAAAAAGACACAATTATCATTTATATTTAGAAAACAATAAAAACCATAACCAATCACACCAACTTTACCAAATGAAAGGAAAAGACCAGAATGAAGAATATTGTGGAACTCAAAAAACTGAGAGCACAATTTAAAAGACAAATAAAGGCCTATATATGATAATAAATCAACTAAACAACAACTCAATAGCTCAGGCCAGTGACATATCTAATACTCTCACACAACCTTCAAGTTAAGCCTAGAATCATAAATTTCTATTACTTGTACATCTTTCTTATAATTTAAGGCCAACAAGATCTCGTTGGAAGGTAGCATAAGTTTCGCAAAGGAACAAATATAAAGCAATATTCAACAGGTAGATATGTTGGTCGCTTAAACACGAAACCAGATTGTTCAGTTTCACAACAAGATTAACCAAAAAATTGCTAATTAATTCAACTACTAGTGTATTGTTAGTTAAATCAACTCAATGCACACCAAATTCAAAATCTACCCAGAGAACCTCATCACTCAAGCCACTGATTAAAAAATAAAATAAAATAAATTATGAAGGACACAACACAAGGATATCTGTACAAGAAAATACACTAACCTCAATTCCAACTTTGACATCTTTCACCATAATCATTTGCAACACTGAGGAATCATCCCCTGAAACAGAAGAAGGTTCTGCATCACTGCTATCAGAAGAATTATTTCCCATGGAAGGATCAGTCTCATCTCTATCCTGGTCAGAATTTTCAGTTGATGGTTCATCATCATCACCAGAAGCATTAGCATATTCATGATTGTCATCATCATCGTCATTGACAGATTCATGATGTGAAGAAACAGAAGAGAAGTGTACATCCTCAGCCCCAGTTTTATGATTAAAGCTGCATTGCAAATGATATTACATGTAAGGACAATAAAAAGAGAATTATAGCACTGAGATACTGTAGGTCCATTTCTGGCAAGCATAAGCAGCAACTTATGCATCAATGTNTTTTGTCCATAAGTGATTATTGAACAAGCTACAGCAATCCAAACTAAGCCTTAGTCAATAATCACAGTAAATTAAACTTCTATTTTGGTAAGATAATAATACATTTATATTGCAAAGGTATGGAATTACCTGTTAGAGTTTCACACCGATTAGGCACGTTCAAGTCTACTGGTTTATAAGAGGGGGTAATCCTCCCATTCAAAAAGGTCTCAATGGGTGAGGAATCAGACCCACTTCAAATTCTATCATGGTATCAGAGTTCAAGTTCAGTTGAACTGAGTGCTTGACTAGCAGGTGAAAAGTTAGAGCCAACAACTACCTCCAATAACAGACCTGACCCAACATATGGGCTTGACACTAATGGAGAGTGTTGGAGTCTCACACCGATTAGACACGCTCAAGCCTACTAGTTTATAAGAGGGGGTAATCCTCTCATTAAAAAAACCTTATTGGGTGAGAAGTAAGACCCACCTCAAATTCTATCATTACCTATTTTAACTTTTTTGTAGTTTTATTTTATATTTTTTTGTCATAATCATATGCAAATTCTTTATCTACTAATTTAGGGTATTTCAAATGTAGATAATAGGTTCAAGGTGCTTATATTATAGGTAACTTATAATTGCTTTTGGAACTTGAAATTATTTGATGGTAACGGTTATGAGGGTAAACCACCGTAGCGATTTTGAGAGTAAACCACCGTAGCAGTTTTTGAAGAGTTTTTAGTAACGGTTTTAAAAACACCCAACCTATGCTTGGGAGTTTATTTTTCAGCTGTTCTGATAGATTTTTGAAATGATAAATTTACATATATGCCCATAAAAATACCCCAATTTCAACCAGTACTCGGGAGTTTTGTTTTTTCAATTACAAGGTAAAGGTTCTTTATTTGTTTTCTACTTATTAGTATTTTATAACTTCAAATGTGATAAAGTCTTTTTATTGTTCTTCGCCTTTCTTTGCAACATTTGGAATGATTGAAAAATTGTAACTCTACTTCTCCAAAAAAGCATCTAGAAATGAGATTTAAATTTTTTTTTTTTTTTAATCATTTTCAAACCAATAGTGGCAAATTAAGTCTATCAAACAATCCAAGATAACTAATATGCAGGCATTGCTTCATTACTCTGTCAAAAATACCTTAAAGCACACCAAATGTGAGGGACTCAAACTAGAGAACTTAAAAAAGCACTTGACCCGAAGGTCAAACAACTTGACCTAATCGAACCCAAATGCAGTTTTTACTGCAATTATTTGATAAAAATAAGCAAAGCAAATAAATTTTATTTCTTTATCTCAAACTAACAATTAAATTTCACCACACAATTTACAGTACCTTGTGGAGCTCAGTCCCACACAAAAGAGAATCAACTTCAGCCAGAGACCAAGCAAAAGGCACACACTCTTGATGAGGTAAGAGCTGAAGATAACCAGCCCAAGAAGATTCCTCACCCAAGCTCCTCTCATACATCAAAGCAACTGATAAGCCTAAAATACCACCCAAACCAGCTGCCTCAATCATTTTACAAGCCCCACTAGTTTTAACAGTGAGACATGCAGTTTTTGGAATTGTTGCCACCACATCACCTTCCTTCAAATCACATAAGGCGACAACGGAGATTCCTCTTTCTGGGTCGTCTTTGAAATGGAGTGCGTCGCTGTATTCAATGCCGTGGGAACTCATCCACCGCTTAAATGCTCTTACTCGCCTAAATAATTACAAAATATGTATTAAGCGCGTTGTGATTATATGGGAAGTATAAACAATGTGAGTATCAGACAAGAAAATAAAAAAAGAAGAGAGTTTAAGTTTTACCTGGAAGCCATGAGTGCGCAGGAAAGTAGGATGTTTGACCGGCCAGAGGCCCAGAGTTGTTTTGTCTGAGTTTCTAGTAGGGTTTTACGGTCTTGCTACTGCTATTCGGAATAAATCCATATAAAAGTTATACTTTAACAGATTAATTTATTCTTAAATAAACCTTCTTTAAATTCTCTTATGTATTTCCTTTTTGAATTATAATTTTTTTTCCTAATTTTTGTTATTATTATATGAGAGATGGTATATAATGAAATTAAGGCCAATATCTTTGCCATATAATCTAAATGGTCAAACCACATCCTTTTATTTATTTATTTTTTATTTCCAAATAAGAATCAAATTTGTATATATATGTATATATTTTTTTAATGTTCTATACAAAGCCAGTATTATTATTTGTAAAATTTACTTAATTAATTTGAGGGCGAATTGATAATCACAATTTTAAAGTCTCTCAACAAAGACCATCCTCACCATTTTCTCCCTTACACCATCATGTTCTCCTCAAAATAACATCTTTATAAGAAAAACAAACGGATTGGCTACATTAACTATGAATCTCTTAGCTTCTAAACAGACGTTTAAAGTGAATTACAAGATTGTTGTAACTTTTCTCATAATCACTTATTTCATAATCTATAATCCAAAAAGTAATGTTACATATATAAACTAATTATACAAATTATTTTCAACAAACTGATGTGGCAACTCTACATATTTGACATATAGTCTACCTTAATTGTTAAGTTTATCTCTAATTCAAAATTATTCAATCACATTAAAACACGTTAGTTTGTGTAGATGGGTTTTGTATGAAAAGTGATCGATAAACTAATTTGAAAAAGAGATTATACAACGAAATAATTTATTTTATTAAAGGATTCCAAAGTAAGTTTTTCTAGCTTTTAGATTTCACACGCTGCTTTTGAAAGGATTAATTACCAAAAACATCCTATGATTAACTTAAATTCTATTTTTGTTCTATAAATGATTTTTTAATTCAATTAATAATATTATAATAAAGATTAAAATTCAAAAAACTTAATTGAATTAAAAAGTTCAGAATGTTGAAAACTTTTAAAATCCTAGCCGATGAAATAACCAGCCGAAACTACTAGTGGTGACCAGCAGAGTCTCTGACAATGCATCCAATGACATTGTCAGCACCATTAAGATCGTCGAGAGATGAACTACTCGATTGTGCGGACTCATAAGGTGTTGCGATAGATTTTGAGCGTAGGAGGCCAACAAAGTTTTGGCCAAAACTTTGTTGGCTTCCTTCTACAAAACTCCACAGCCGATGGTTGACGCCCCGACACTATTGATTAGATTGCCTATTGATGGTTATCATGGTGCCAGTAGTGTCATCGGACACACATCTGGCGACTCCACTGATCATCGGTACAATTCTCGGCCAACTACTTCGTTGGCCAGGATTTTTTTTTTAATGTTTTAAACTTTTTATTTTAAAATATAGTTATTAATAAATATCCTAAAAACTAAAAGAAGTTATTGATAATAAACCTATTTTTGTAATTTTACACATACGAAAATCATTCTTTCAAAAACAAAAGTAAATTTAAAAATTAAACACCCTACAAATTTTATTTAAAGTTGGTTATTTTAAATTTTTGTCCATAAGTGATTATTGAACAAGCTACAGCAATCCAAACTAAGCCTTAGTCAATAATCACAGTAAATTAAACTTCTATTTCGTAAGATAATAATCATTTATATTCCAAAGGTATGTAATTATTACATGTTGGAGTCCCACACCGACTAGACACGCTCAAGCTTACTGATTTATAAGAAAGGATAATCCTCCCATTCAAAAAGGTCTTATTGAGTGATGAGTCAAACCCACCTCAAATTCTATCATGGTATCAGAGCCTAGGTTCAGTTGAGCTGAGTACTTGATCAACGGGTGAGGAGTTAGAGCCGACGACTACCTCCAATAACAGGCATGACCCAACATATGGGCTTGACCGTGAGGGGAAGTGTTGGAGTCTCACACCGATTAGACATGCTCAAGCCTACTGGTTTATAAGAGGGGATAATCCTCCCATTCAAAAAAGTCTTATTGGGTAAGGAGTCAGACCCACCTCAAATTCTATTATTACCTATTTTAACTTTTTCGTAGTTTTATTTCATAATTTTTGGTCATAATCATATGCAAATCCTTTATCTACTAATTTAAAGAATTTGAAAGCTAGATAATAGGTTCAAGGTGCTTATATTATAGATAACTTATAATTGCTTTTGGAACTTGAAATTGTTTGATGGTAGCGGTTATGAGGGTAAACCATCGTAGCGGTTTTGAGAGTAAACCACCGTAGCGGTTTTGAAGGGTTTTTAGTAGCGGTTTTAAAAACACCCAACCTCTGCCTGGGAGTTTAATTTCCAACTGTTCTGACAAATTTTTAAAATGATAAATTTACATCTATGCCCATAAAAAAACCCTAATTTCAACCAGTACTCAGGAGTTTTGTTTTTTTAATTACAAGGTAAAGGTTCTTTATTTGTTTTGTACTTATTAGTATTTTATAACTTCAAATATGATAAAGTCTCCTTATCCTTCTTCGCCATTTTTTGCAGCATCTAGAATGATTGAAAAATTGTAACTCCACTTCTCCAAGAAAGCATTTAGAAATGAGATTTTAAATTTTTTTGTTTTTTTATGATTGCATAAAATTATTTTGTATTTAATATGGTTGGAGATACGCACAATATGGTTAAAAAAAAAAAATTTGGATATAATTGTGATAGTTTTGTAGTGGATAGGGTATTTGTGGAAACAAAATTTTAAAATTAACCAAAACACCCCAAAAATACACTACACTGGTTCGGGGGAATTTTTGAGCGAGTCAAAACCAATGCATAAAAAATTTGGCAAGTAATGGTTTTAGAACACCTCAAAACCAATTTAATTAAAAACAACTCAAAACGAGTGAAAACAAAAAAACTCTCAAGCACACCCTAAAGGAATATTATCACTTACCTCCCTTGAGGTTTCCATAAATTAAGTTACATCCTTGTGGTATTGAAAATCCTACCTGACCTCCCTTCACATTTGATTAAATTTTCATTTACCTGCCCTCACCTAGAAGTGGAACAAATGGGTCGGGTTAGGCGGGTCAACCTTGACTCGGCCCGCATTAAAGAGGGTTCAACCCGAACCGCCTATAAGGTGGGCCGGGTTGAACCCGATCCGCATGCAACCCCCGGGCGGGCCGGGTTTTTATATGGCAACCCGGCGGGTTGGCCCAAAAAAATACAAAATTAATTTTTTTTTTTTTTTTTTTTTTTTTTTTACAAATGCCCATTTTACCCTTGAAATATAGCCGTTTTATAACAGTTAGAGGGGGCTTTTTAGTCATTTTCTTTTCCCATTTTTTTCTATAAATAGGCCATAAACTCTCATATTTTCTCACATCCCAAATTCTCTCGTTTTCTCTAATCTCTATTGAAATCTCTCAATTATTCTCTTTGTTGTCAATTTGCTCTCATTTTAATTTTTATTAGTTTTTGCAATTTTCAATTCATAATTCCAAATTCTAATTCTCCTTGTTTAATTTTTTATTTCTTCTATATCAAATTTTTTTTTAACTACAATGGATAGATATTTCCATCCCGTCAATTCTAATGATGAAGGAAACTACTATCCTATTCCCCCTGAATTTACTAACATAAATGCAGTAAATTCAGATAGTCTCGCTTTCCCAGTCTCAGAATCTGATACACCTCATAATATTCCTCCGATTCCTCCCCATACTGCTACAACTACCGGTGGTTCTAGAAGTTGTCCTCGTAATCGTCGTCCTTGTCCAACTTCATCTCAAGCTGAAGTGGGTTCATCAACTGCTGTCGAAACCGACGACAGACACACATCAGACGTTTGGGTGTATTTCGATAAGTTTTACGAGACAGAAAATGGAGTTCAAATGAAGAAAGCAAGATGCAAGTATTGTGGAAATATTTATAAAATTGATTCAGGTAATGGTACTAGTAATTTAAAAAGACATGCTAATAAACATATTGCTCAACATGGAAATAGAGAAACCAATCAAACTCAAATAACTAATATGAGTCCTATTTGGCGTTATAATTCTGATGTATATAGGGAGCAATTAGCTTTATATATTGCTGCAACTGATCAACCTATTAATATGACTGAAAATAAATATTTTGAAAGATTTATTAAAAAATCATTTTTTCCAGGATTTAAAAGTTATTCTAAAACTGCAACTAGAAATGATTTAATAAAATATTTTGGGAAAATGAAATTAGAATTAAAAAATAAAATGCATAGTTGTCATGTTAGTGTGGCTCTAACTGCCGATATTTAGAGTGGTAAAGCTAAACAATATTATATTTGTGTGACTAGTCATTATTTTGATAACGAATGTAAATTAAATAAATCTTTATTATGATTTAGATTAATGGATATGGATCATAGTGGTCAACAAATTTATAATAAAATTGTTAAAGTTTTAGAAGATTATGATGTTATTAATAAAGTGATAAGTTTAACTTTAGATAATGTAAGTGCTAATAGTACAGCTATAGATTTTTTTAAAATTAATTATCCTTTTTATAACAATTTGAAGTTTTTTCACCAACGTTGTTCATGTCACATTATTAATTTAATTGTGAAAAGTGGTATGAAAATAATTAGAGATAATATTGATAGAATTAAGGATTCCTTAGCTTGGATTACTAGTAGTAATAAAAGAAATGCTGCATTTCAAGATGCTTGTATAAAATCAAATATGTCTCCTAGAATTTTTGATAAGACATGCCTGTTAGATGGAATAATACTTATTTAATGTTTGATTCATGTTTACCTTATGCAAATTTAATTAGTTATTTTGTAGCAAATAATAAAGATCCTTATTATTTGGTAGAAAATGATTGGCATATAGCTAAAATATTTCATTCTTTTCTTAAATTTTTTTACCAATCCACTTTACAACTTTCTGATGTGTATTATCCTACTGGTCTATTGGTAATACATACAATTATAAAAATTTCAGAGTTATTTAGAAAAAAACATAAACAATGAAATTTTAGGGGGACCAATAAAGGCAATAGA